GAAATACTGAAAAATTTTATTCTGAGCAATTTCAGAAAATAGAGCATAACTCGGCTCAAACTTATTATTTTTGAGTTCTGAGAAGTGGAAAATAATCAGGAAGTCATTTAAAACAGAACTCACATAGATTTGACATGATGGCCTAGGAAACCGAATTTTGAGAAAGTTAGGCCACGTAACTACTTTCTTGCTAGACTCTAAATTTTACATGAACATATGCGTTTTCAAATTCTCTGTAGATTGGTCTAAAAACCATGCCGAAACCTTCATTTTGAGCCGAGTTATAGTCGAAAAACTAAAAAAATTTTATTCTGAGCAATTCCATAAAATTGATCATAACTCGGCTCAATCTCAATTTTTTTGAGTTCTGAACAATGGGAAATAGTCAGAAAAAGTCAGGGAATCTTTTGGAACAGAACCCACTCAAATTCGACATGATGGCCTAGAAAATCAAACCTTGAGAAATTTAGGCCACGTGACTATTTTCATGCTAGACCCTTAATTTTACATGAACAAATGCGCCTCCAAATTTTTTATAGATTAGTCTAAAAACCAGGCCAAAATCTTGATTTCAAGCCGAGTTATCGTCAAAATACTGGAAAATTTTATTCTGAGCAATTTGACGAAATTGGGCTTGACTTTTTGAGTTCTAAAAACCCCCACTTTTCTCAGATACCGTGACAAGAAGAAGAAGATGGCAACGGACTCGGCGAAAGCGTACAATGGGGCTCCGAAGGCTAAGACTCCTCAGTAATCTTATCATTTATGTTTTGTCCTCCTTAATTCTTTTTGTTGTCCTTTTCCCACCCCCAATAAATCTTTTGTATTATTATTGTAGTGTTTGTATCTTATCTCAATTGACTGCGACAAAAAATCTCCTGACCCCATGTGATTTGAGAAAGGAGAAGATGAACATTTGCTTCTTTGATTTATTGGCCCTCTTGGGACGAGAGAGTACAGATTCTTGTGGAGACGCAGAGAAGGTGATAGCAGGTGTCTACGAGGAGAGTGAGGGGCTCCCTCCTCATTCATTCCTTTCCCTCTCATCCCCCACTGGTCAGTTCTTTTTCTTCTTCTCCTGTTTTCTTGTCGTCCCTTACATCCAGGACCAGGACGGTGCCATGCGGGTTGTACCTAACCCATCTCTTTTTATTTTCCTGTTTTCCTGTTTCTTAATCGGTCAAACCGAGTCCAGATGGTTTGGAAAGTATGGGAGGCAACAGCCTCCCAAAGGGCTTCCTGTTATTTTGGGTGAGTTTTTTTTTTTTGAAAATTGGACTGAAAATTGGCAAAAATTGAGGAAATTGGGCAAAATCGGGTAAAAATTTACCAAAAGTGATAAAAATTTTTTCGAATTCTCAAAAAAAAAAATCTGAAATTGTAGATCAAAAAATTCTCTATTGATTGGTACAAAATTCATATGGTTTTGTTTTAGAAAAAGTTGGTCGAAAACGCAAAAATAATGATTTTCGCACAGAAAATTCAAATTTCCCCAGGTTTTTCTGATTTTGTGAGCATGTTTTTCTGTACAACCCTATATGATATTTATACCAATCGATAGATAATTTTTTGATCTACCAATCCAAGTTTTTACTTACGTAGAATCCCTCGGAAATAGGGCCGTCAGGGTCCAAAACTCAGTTTTCCCCTGTCCTGAAGAATTGCCCCTATCCTGAAGACTTTTGGATCGGAAACGTCTCGGAATTCAAAATTATGATTCCCCAAAAAAGTCGAAAATATTCCTACCACCACGGGGATCGAACCCAGGATGCAATATTCGAAAAAATGAGGGGAAAATTCAGAGAAAATAAGCTCTAATGGTAAAAAACTACTTTTTTCAGTCCCCGGTGACGGAGGTAGCCAAATCGAGGCGAATTTAACTGGAAAACCATCCACCGTCCATTATGTATGCTCTAAGCAGACCGCCGATTATTTCGACCTGTGGCTCAATCTTGAGCTGTTTTCCCCATTAATTATTGACTGTTGGACGGATAATATGCAGTAAGTTTATGCTGGTAGATAAAAAAAATTTGCTGTCGATGAGTATAAATATCATTCAACTGGAAATTTCGAGTTTTTCAGCAATCTGTTTGACAAAACCCATTAGATTTTCAAGTTTTTGATCTACCACCCCCGAAATTCAAAAAATAATGCTTTAATTTAGACTGGTCTTCAACACAACCACTGGGCTCTCCGAAAACATGCCTGGAGTGGACACTCGCATCGTCGGATTCGGAGCATCTGAATCCGTGGAGTGGCTGGATAAGAGCAAGGCGTCGCAGGGAAGATATTTCTTTGATATCGTCGATTCGATGGTGTCATGGGGATATCGGAGAGGAAAGGATGTGGTTGGTGCGCCGTTTGATTGGAGAAGATCACCGAGTGAGTTTTTTTTTCAATTTTTGGGCCCGGGAAAGGGCAGAGGCATTTCTGAAGGCGCAGGATGAATTCTATTGAGGAACATAGCTTTCATGAAAAAGAAAAAAAGATTTGACCCCCATGGGGGTCGAACCCGGAATGCAAAATCAAGAGACGGCAGTGCTAACCGCTAGGCCACCGCGGCGCTGTGAAAGATGGCGGCGCCTGGGAGGAGGGAGGTGGGAAAGCATGCTACCGGTGGCCTAGTGGCTACCGCAGCTGTCTTATAGTTTTGCATCGCGGGTTCAACCCCCATCGGGGTCAAATCTTTTTTTCTTTTTCCCTTTCTGCTTCCTAAGTCATAACTCATTTCAGATGAGCTCAACGAGTACCTCATCCAGCTGAAAACCCTCGTCGAAACCACCTATCGATGGAACGAAAACCAGAAGATTGTGCTTGTGGGTCATAGTATGGGAAATCCACTTTCCCTGTATTTTTTGAATAATTATGTGGATCAGGTAAGCTAGAATTTACATCGCAGCGCTTTTTGACTCCAAAATTGTGATTTTCAGGCCTGGAAAGACAAATACATCTCAAGTTTCGTGAGTTTGGCGGCTCCATGGGCTGGATCTATGCAAATCGTTCGGTTATTCGCTTCGGGATACAATATGAACTACTACAGGGTCATCCTACCGCCAAGTCATTTAAGAGCCATGCAGAGGTTGGTTTTTTTCCGGTGGGGTGGCAGATGGACGTACTTTGGGCCTATAGCGGTCAACAGGATAGAAAATAAGAAAGAAAACTGAACAGTGGAAAATCAAAAATCACCCGAAAACCAACAAAAACCCTGAATTTTCACAAAATCGCAATTAATTTTTTTAAAAAACAGCGATAAATCGTTTATTGCCAATTTTTCAACACCTAGTCATAGATTTTTTTTAGACAGTCTGAAAATTTGAGCTGGTAGCTCAGAAAACTCTCTATTGATTGATATAAATATCATACGAAATCGCATTGGAAAAAGTAGGTCAAAAACGTGAAAAATCCAAAAAATCATTATTTTCCAGTTTTTTGAAATTTTGATCTACTTTTTCTGATACAGCCCTAAATGATATTTATGTCAATCAACGAAGAATTCAATTTCCTACCGATTGGTATAGGTAACATACGGAATTGGATCAGAAAAGTAGGTCAAAAATCCAAAAAAATTGAAATGTCGTGAAATTCAGTGTCTAGTCTGTAAACACCGTTCAGACAGCACAAATGTTTTCTGGATTTTTGACTTGACTTGAGTAACAGCTGTTAAACGAAACGCTGACTAGCCTTTTGACCTTCGTTACCTAGGCCCGCAAAAAATCACAAATTAAGCTAGACCTAAACCACGGACTAACTTTACGACCCTTGGAACCTTACCAAATGCCCCGGACGTAGGACCGTGGCCTAACTTTCCCGGTCTTGGAACCTAGGCCATATCCCAAAAACCTCTTGCTATTTCCAGATCCTTCACTTCCTCGGCCTTCCTCTTCCCAAGTCCCGTCGCATGGAAACCCCACGAAATCCTGGCCACCACAGCCACCAAAAACTACACAGTCTCCAATATCAAAGAGTTTTTTGCCGACATTGACTACATGGTCGGTTGGGAGCAATATAAGCAAGCCGCCAGGCTCAACGGGAACCTTACCGCCCCCGGGGTCCCCGTTCACTGTATTTATGGAACCGGGGTGCCCACACCGGAGAAATTCGAATGGGCTGCTGGATATTTCCCAGACTACCCGCCCACAGAGTTCATGGGCGATGGGGATGGTACTGTAAATAAGAAATCGGCGACTGTGTGCACCAATTGGATCAATAATAATCAGGGGAAGAAGGTCACCGTGCATGAGGTGTTTCAGGCAGATCATATGGCGATTTTGAAGCATCCCAATGCTATTGAGCTGGTCAGGAAGGCTATTTTCCAAGAAATGTAGATTTTTTTTGTCTTTTTTTCCATGCCACATGGTCTGTACTTTTTCTGTATTTTTTTCAGCTTTTTTATGGTGCTTTTTGATGGTTTTTATGAAAAATAATCGATAATTGTCATTCGAGCGTACTTGCTGAATTTTTGGTTTTTTTTTTGAGAAAATATTGCAGAAACACTGCAGAAACACTGTAAAAACACTGTAGGAACTCCCCGAGAAACCACGGAAAAATCCTGGAAAAAACCTCGGAAAAATCCTGGATAAAACCTCGGAAAAATCCGGAAAAAAACCCGGAAAAAACCCGGAAAAAACCTCGGAAAAATCCCGAAAAACCCGGAAAATACCCTGGAAAAACCCGGAAAAAAAAACCCGAAACAACCCCGGAAAAGTTTCGGAAAAACCCTTGAAAACCCCAGCAAATTCACAGTATTTTTCCTGCATTTTCCCCATATTTTCTATACCTCTCCCCTAAAAACAACTCCACCCTTTAATTAACACCATTTCCTTCCCATCCCATCTTCCAAAGTGTCATTTACACCCGAAAGATAATTAAAGAGGCCGTGGTTACTCAACTGCTAATTCAACTGTGAAATATGGAAGCGGAATTATTTGGTCTACTTCAAATGCTTCAAATTGGACTCCTAGTGGTTTGAAATAGTGAGAAACAAAAAGAAAAAAGGAAATCGCCCCGGTGGGGGTCGAACCCGCGAACTTCCGCATGAAAGACGGGCGTGTTAGCCACTGCGCCACCAGTGCATCAGCCGTCACAGCAGCGCAGGGCGTTGATAAGGCAGCGAAAAAGAGGGCGCCGCCGGCACAAAGAATTGCTACAATTTATTGGATGTTTTGACGATATCACAAGAAAAGTTAGGGGGTGATTGGGCTGGAAGGGGTATAATAGTTAGGGAGAGAGAAATAATTTAAAATTTTAAATTCAAAAATAGGTGGATTATATATAAATAAGGAATGAACATTATGCAAATTTTAGTGGAGAGAGAGACGACGACAACAAAAAAAAATGGAAATCACAGGACCGTAATGTTGATTGTGTGTATGTGTGTGTGGGAGAGGAAGAGTTGGATTCACTGAAACCGTGGATGTCCGAATTGGGCATTCTCCTCGAGCTTATCCGACTCAGTTTTCCGCTTCATTCCCACCATCGCCTTCGGGTTCATGTTTCGTTGGCGGACCTGGAAAACGGAATTATTGGGAGGGTTTTGGAGCATTTTTGGAGCATTTTGAGCCAAATCTGAAGTTTCTAGGGTCTTTTTGAGCCATTTTGAGCAACGAACACTTTTAAAGTGGCATCTAAGCAATTGAGACCAATTTTGAGGCAAAATTTGAGCTTCTAGTGCCGCTTTAAGCCAAAATCCCGGTTTTTGTGATCATTTTAAGCCATTTTGAGCAAAAACCTCTATCAGAGCTGCACCTGACCTATTTGGACCAAATTTGAGGGTCTGGGTTAACTCTGAAGCAAAATTCGGCTACTGGATCCGTTTGGAGCCAAAATTCGAATTCTTAAGGTCATTTTGAGCCATTTTTAGCAAAAACCCCTATTAGAGTGGCACCAGAGCCAAAATAGAGATTCTAGGCTCATTTTGAGCCTAATTTTAGGCCGCTCGGACCATATTTACCGCAAATGGCTCACCTGCTCCTCAAGTTGTGTGATGACCGAGACGGCGTTGTGCAAAATGCCCAATTTCGTCTGATTTCGTTCGGTATTCTGATTGTGTTGGGTGCACATACGGCCGAGCTCCTTGAACGCCGAGTTGATGTCACGCACGCGGACTCTGGAAATTCGAAAGTTGGGGTGTTGCTCAGACTAAAATTTTAGGCTGGGTCAGGTGAGCCTAGACTAGCCTAGACCAGCCTAGACCAGCCTAAACCAGCCCAAGCCAGCTTAGACTAGCCTAGACCAGCCTAGATGAGCCTAAACTAGCCTAGACCTGCCTAGACCCGCCTAAACTAGCCTAGACCTGCCTAGGCCAGCCTAGACCAGCCTAAGCCAGCCTAAGAGAGCCTAGACCAGCCTAGACCAGCCTAAACAAGTCTAAACCAGCCTAGACCAGCATAGACCGGCCTAAACCCGCCTGTGCGCCTTTAAGGCCCCGTTTCAAGCCCTACTCACCTCTCCCGTGCATTATTCTGCGACCGCCGATCCGTATCCTTCTCATCGCTCACCGACTCATTGTCCGACAGTCGTGACGACGACGAGTGACGTGTCAAAGCTCCAGTGGACGGTGGTCCACCTTGTTGCCGTCGGCGGCTTGTCGCCCGTGATCCACCCTTCTCGCGACCGCCTCCAGACGAGGAGCTGGAGCCGGCTGGGCCCATTCCAGGCATTCCAGGGTAGAGGGGCGAGTCGAAATGGGGGCTCATGCCTGCTGGCGCAAAGTGACCGTAGTCGGCGAGGTTCGTGTCGCCGCCGAGACCATTCTGGAAATTTTTTGGATTTCGGTTTTTTGGTTCAAACCCCCATGGGCCTTTAAGGTCACCCCAAAGTTGGCTAAACTTTCCGCCGCCGGCGAATACATACACTTAATTACATAACTAATCCATCTTAGGCATGTCTCTTCTACTTTTTTTATGTTTACATTAGTGACTTTTTCGAGGTCACCCCCACCCTTCTCGGGACCACCTCTTGCAATAAAGAACATGCCGCCTTTCTTCGAAAAGCAATCATCTTGTGGGTGGTTGGGGGCGGTGCGGATCAAAGGGACCCGGGGCGGGGGAGGCGGATTATGCATGCATAAAAACCCCGTGTCCTCGAGATTAACTTGTGGCGGTAAAGTACCCATAAAAAAGGAGGAGGAGAGGCTCTTAGAAGGCATGTAAAATGAAACAGTCGGGTGTGAAATTTCAGTCGGTGGGGAAAAAAAAGAAAAAAAAAGATTTCGCCCCGGAGGGGTTTGAACCCGAGTGTTTCAGTTTGAAAACAGGAGAGTTAGCCACTAGGCCACGGGTGCAAAAAAAAGTTCACAGGAAAAAAAAACAAAACGTTTTAGCCACCAAGGAGTTCGAACCTGGGTGTGAAATTTCAAAACCAGGAGTGTTGGCCACTAGGCCAAAGGTGCAAAAAAAGTTTGAAGGAAAAAAACAAAAAGATTAAGCCACCAAGGGGTTTGAACCCGGGTGTCGATTTTCAAAAGCAATGCGGTTAGCCACTAGGCCATAGAACCTAGAACCGGCTAGTCCCTTCTAGCCCGGCTTAGACCAGGCCAGGCCAGCCTAGACCAGCCTAGCCCTACCTACATCAGCCTAGCCCAGCCTAGACGAGCCTAGGCCAGCCTAAACCAGCCTACCCAGGCCTAGCCTAGCCCAGACTAGCCTACACCCGCCCAGCCCAGCCTAGAACCCCCAAGACCCCCATGACCCCGCCCCAACCTACCACTGGCTGTCCTGTAGGTGTCTGATAAAAAGCCAACGGATCAGCGGCACTCGGATCCGCTCCAAACGGATATGCAGGTGGAATAGTGATATTGTACGGGTGCACCGAGCCAGACGCCTTGTTATCGTATCCCGGGTACGTGGGCCACGCCCCGTACATTGAAGTCATCGCGTCCAATGGTCCTGGGGCCACCGGGGCTGCTGGCACCACTCCAATTTCAGTAGTCGTGGTCCCATTGGGGGCGGAGAGAGTGGTGGGTTTCAGCTCGAGCACATCGGTCGTCGTGGTGGTTGTGGTTGTGGAGCCGGATGTTGGCGATGTTGTCGTTGGCGACGTCAAATGATTCGGCTTCACTTCAGAAGGCGTCGTGGTGTTGGTGGTGTCGCCGACGGAAGTTGGTGGGGGTACTGTGGCCGCCGCGGCCGCTCCGAATGCTGCGGTGTAGTCAATGTCGGCTGGTGGCATTTGGTAGGTGTTGAGTTGGTATCCGGCTGAAATGTTTATCTTTTTTTTGAGTGGATTTAGTTGAGTGGGTTATTCGAGTAAATAAACATTGAGTTTGTGTTTATATGGTCTCAAATGGCTCCTAGATAGTTCTAAATAGCCTTAAACCCTTTTAGAAAAAAAGCAAAAAGGTTTTTGTTCCATGTGGAATTGAACCCGACCCCTTCAGATTCAAAACGGGCAGCGTTAGCCACTAGGCCACGCGTTACATGATGCAAGGAGGAGAGAAGGGCGTAGAGGAGCGCGCGGAAAAGGGGGAAAGAAGGGAGGTGACACGTCATCAATAGAGAAAAATAAAAATTTTAAGAAAAATCAGAAAGTGCGCTCTAATGATAAAAACTTCTAAAATCTATGAAAAACGAGGTTGAAGCGTCTAGATTCGACTAAAAAGGAATGAAATGAAAGGAAAAATGTTATAAAATGGCGAAAAAGGTAAGAAATGAGAAAACTTTGGCCGTGGTAGCAGGCAAGAATTAATTTCTCCATTCTCAATTTTCCCGCGCACACAAACAAATTAGATTGGTTACCTATGCCTAAACAGCGCGCGCTTTGAAACAAGAACTAGATCAAATTCTCAAGTTTTTAGGGAAAAGGTCAAAAATCGTCGAATTTTTGGTAGATCAAAAACTTACCATTCCAATAATCGGGCATTTGAATAGCGCCAGTGGTGTCCAAGCCATACGTGTACTCGTATCCCGTCGGAATCATCGGCTGAGTGAGGGCAGCCGCAGCGGCGGCGGTGGCCACTGTCGCAGTCGCGGATGGGAGTTGACCATTCGGGTCCGCCATTTTTTGGCTTGGCGCGCTGGAAAAAAATAACTTTTTGATTAGAAAAATTTTAATTTGCGGTTTTTGAAGATATATAAGAAGCATATTAAGAAATATATACGTCAAGTTGTGTTGGTAGTCAGGAGATTGAATAATATTTGGCGGGGAGAAGGGAGCAGGTGAAAATTAGGTTAGTAAATAATATATAGAAAATTGGATTTTGACTATATAACTATTTATTGATTTTTCACGGGTTACTTGAGAGCGGGGGCCCCACAGAGAACAAAGGGCTAAGGATCATTATAGGGAAGGTGTCAACTGATAATTATGACAATTAAATTACGTCTTAATAACACCAAAACCGTCCCTTTGTTACCTAATCTCCTTTCAACCGGAAGCGGAAGCCGCGCGGGAACAAAAACCCAAAAACCCCCCGCTTCTCTACACCCTCTCTCCCCCTTGCGTCAGATGCGCGTATGGCGCAACAGGTTAGCATTTTGTCCGCCGCGCCACAGGGGTCCCCAGGTTCGACCCCACCTAGTGGCAAAACCTTTTTACTTTTTTTTCCAAGCATCTAATCAGCATCCCAGGACCATGTAGATGTAACAATCCATCAAGATTTTTATCGCGCTTAGATGTTTATCAAGAGAGCAATAAAGTAGTAGCAAGACAGTTTTACGAGTATGGGAATAACGGGATACAACCTGGGTACCGGAAACAAAAAAAGATGTGGGGAAGATAAATTCAAGAAAAAAAAGATAAAATCGATAGGTAGATCAAAAAATGGGACTCTTCTCGAGATTGGCAGTGTGGGTCAAATGAATGGAGGGGTAGATCAAATTTTGCTCCTGGGAAAAAAGTAATAAGAGGCCGCCAAAAAAAAATGTTTGAATAGTGGTAATTGGCGGGTGGAGAAAAAGGAGAAAAAAGGCGAAAAAAGGATTCACACCTTGGGTGGACCGTCACTTCCAAATGAAATATCTCGGTTGTTAGTGGAGATAGGGAAAAAGTGCCAATTAGAAAAATGTGTAAAATTTGAAAATGAGCAAGTTTGATGTTAGAAATTTTTTGCATCTAGTACGGGAGGTGAGTTATA